TTGGGCTCTTCAGCCGCTTTAGTCACCGCTCTAGTGTCTGCGCTAGTCATCCATCGCACCATGTCGCCTGAAGACCTTGGTCTCGGCCGAGACAAACTTCATAACCTGGCTCAGGCAGCACACTGTGCGGCCCAGGGCAAGGTCGGTTCTGGTTTCGATGTTGCTGCCGCTATCTACGGATCGTGCCTTTACCGGCGATTCTCGCCTGACATTCTGGAGTCCATCGGAGATGTTGGAACCCCTGGGTTTGGAGAACGTCTTTTTGCAATTGTGGAGGATGTCAACCAGCAACATCCGTGGGACACCGAATGTGTGGATTTCGGCATGAGGCTCCCTCGTGGTATGCAGATGGTGCTGTGTGATGTTGAATGCGGCTCGCAAACCCCATCCATGGTTAAGAAGGTTTTGGAATGGCGGAAAAACAACCAGGCGGAAGCGGACACACTCTGGGGAGCTCTTCAATCGAACAATGAGAACCTGCGGACAGAACTCAAACGCCTCGCACAGAGCCGCGACGGAGGTGCATACAGCAACTTTTCCGACGTCCGCACCTACATCCAACAAACCCGCGCTTACATCCGCACCATGACCCGCAAAACGCAGGTGCCCATCGAACCGGCTGTGCAAACTGAGCTACTCGATGCTGCATCCGAAATTGAGGGCGTCATTGGTGGTGTCGTTCCCGGCGCAGGAGGCTATGATGCAATTGTGCTCTTGATCCGCGATGACCCGATGGTGACCAAGCAGCTGAACGACCTGTTTGCCAGCTGGAAGAGCGACGATGAAGATGACTTTGGGGGGAAGATTGGCAAAGTCCGGCTCCTGGGTGTTCGCCATGGGTCTGAAGGTGTAAGGAATGAGATGCTCTATCAATATGTTGGTTGGGTATAGACGGGAGACAATGGTTTTTTTTTTTATGCTCTTAGCAGCCAGCATTAAAAAAAATAGCCAGCGATACTTGATTCTTAATATGCTTCTATTATATTCACTGCTATACAATGCATGACTTGAGTCTGTGTAGTCCCTATCAGTGCAGTGAAGTGTTTATCCATATTTGTATTTGTCCTGTGTGGATGTGTTTCCTTGACGAACGGTGCAACGACATCCTGAGAGAGAATGAGGCGAGGACCGAAAGAATTGGATCAGCAGCAGAAAATGTAAGCATAACTCCGCAGAACAAAAGGGAGTCTGACTGACCTTGAAACTCCAACAGGGATATGTACTGTGATTCTCGTGTTGATGGCAGCCACCATACCATTCTGCTCCAGTATATACACTGCGCTCGTTACATCCATTGCCAATGAATTTGGATGTTCCCGCGGTTTCAACATTAAACATCACCACTTTCCTCTTGGGATTCGCTTGTGGATCTTTTTTGTTCGGGCCCCTTTCCGAAGCCTAGTATGTTGGAAAACAAACATTGCCCCCCCCCCAAAAAAACCCAACCAAGACCTTCTTTCTTTGTTTTTGGGTGGTCATCGTTAATCTCTATAGGAGCCTTACTGCCATCTTCCGATTGGTTTTGACCCTCTTTGCCCTATTTTAGATGGGCTGTGCTTCAGCCCCCAATGTTGCGTCGATGATTATATTTCCATTTTTTTTTTGGGCTTCTTCGGTTCGCCGACGGTAACTAACTCAGATGTTCAATAACAAATATTTGGTTCCAGAGTGACCGCACAGTGCCATTGGCGCTGTTCTCTGCAGCTAACTTTCCTGGCACTGTCACTGCGCCCACTGTCGGAGGATTCATCTATCAATACACTGATTGAAGGTGGTGTTTCTGGGTGATCCTGATCCTCAGTGGCACTGGCTATGTAGCCACAATTGTCTTTCTACCCGAGACCTCTCATCCGAAACTTATCACGAACAAAGTCTGTTGTAATAATAATCCTGATCATGATGCAACTGTCAATCGCGTGACTGTCCAAGAGCAATTTTACACGAATCTCATTCGGCCATGAATCATGCTCTTCACTCAACTAATCCTGTTTCTTCTGCCCCTCTACATGGCGTTTATCTATGGCATTCTCTACCTGAACTTTACCGCTTATTTCGTCGTTTACGAGGAATCCTGGGAATGGACCCCTGGCATTGCCGGGTTTTCCTTTCTAGGTATCGGTGCTGGCATGACCATTGCCACTTTGGCATCACCGTATGTCAACCGCATCCATGGAGCTTACGCTCACCGATTGGGTGGTCTACATCCAGAGGCTCGCCTCCCACATCTCATCGTCATCTTATAGCTCATTCCAAGTAGTCTATTCTGGTTTGGATGGACCGCGGCGGATATAGGGTTGGAGCGGAAGGAAGGATTTTCCGGTCCGGGAGACGACTTCCTTTCCACTGCCTACATACTACGACTACCTCTAGGTTCAACTTACGGAGACTCCGTACAATACTATCAGTTTTACATCAATTTCCATCTTGTAGTGGTTTGCTTATCAGTTCTTGTGGTTGACTAAGCCCATGTAGGAGCTGTTAACTATAGTATGATGCTCGGTGGGATGTCTTGGGCACTATTCAGAATGAATAGAAGAACTCTATTTGAGAAAACTATCTATCGCAAGGCCTATATATAGGCAATCTGGCGTCCATCAACTAACTACTAAAGAAATTGTTGCGAAAGCATTTTGAAGAGACAAAAAGAAATGCAAAGTGCATAATGCGTATATGGTTGAGAATGAGTTCCATAGGAGAAATGAATGCTTCTCGGTGGTGCTCTGCAGTGGTGGCAGTTCGATATACTGGAAAAGTGCCTCTCAGAGGATGAGGAGGGTGTTGTTCGGTCTCTCTGGGAGCAGCTGCGGGTTGTTGAGAGAGAGACTCGGGATGACCATCTGTTTAGGAGACATCCTAGGCGTTTCCGGTTTCTGTCGCTTCGGGGATCGCTTGAGAGTAGTTGGTTCCGGGGTGTAGCCATCTAGAGTGTTTGGAGGTCCGGAACTCCTCCAATTTCGGCGTCTGCTATGAGATTTTCTTTACTAATCGCTGATGCTTTAATTGCTCAACTGAGTGTCTTTATATTTGTACGTATGAAAATAATTTGGTTGAGGGATGTACAAAAGGCGCAGACAAACAAAGATGTTTGCTATTGCGTCGTGATAGGTTACGCCTAGGTCAGCACTCGGAGCAGATCCTCGTAAGCACACTTTAGCGAGATGCTTGTCCCGCGCTAAGGATACTTTTGCGTGAACCTTTATATGTTAGCCTCCTGTCTCGGCAGGTGTTCTTCTCTTTTCCTCTCTGCTGAATTCTTCTTGTATATAGCTAGTCAATAGCTCCCGGGGTCTAGCCCTTTACATACCTCTGGGTGAGAATCTTCACCTTTACTTAGCGTATGTCATGGACTGAGGCTGCTCCGGGCTCGATAAGTAGTGTAGTTAAAACGAACAATATTTATATCTAGACTAGGTAGCCTATCGACGACAATATCGAACCTGGAGAGGAAGAAGTGTGGTGATTAATGACTAACGGCCAACTACCGATTTTGCAAACGCCGCCAAAAAAGCAATATGAGCAAACGGCAAGCTCTAGCCCGTGATATAATATAGAATCTCGCCATTTTTTCCCACACGCTTGCCTTACTGGTTCGATCAGCCTATTATAAAACAAAGCTAGCGTGTCCCACATACCGGCCGACCGATCGAAGAACGAATCAGAACCAAACCAGAGAATTCAGCTAGTATGGCTCGACCCAATGAAGCCGTTGGCCCCAGTAGGGCTGGCCGAGAGCCCTTGCTAGTGGCCACGAACAATCGAAAGCCTACCAAGATTTCAGATTCTCAATGTTGACTGATGGAAAAGAACTTCGCTTTGAAGACTGGTTGTTGCTGACGGGCCAGAAGTTGGCTAAAAATGCTGACCATTTTGACACACCTCAACTCCTATGGCATACGTAGCCAGTTGCCATGAGGGTAAAACATGCAAGCACATCACCTCCCGAATGTGAGATGAAATTTTGGACCCGTACACCGGCTCCAAAGACATGCTTGATCACTTGAAGAAAATATATAGCGACCCTAACCGTGTTACTACCGTGAAGCGCCAGTTCCGAAAATTGTACCTGAAGACTACTGACAAGTTCCATAATTTCCTGTCTGAGTTCCTGTACCTTGCTGCTGAAGCAGGAGTCTCTGAGGATGATTGGAAGGATAATCTCTAACAAACCGACCAACAGGCTTCAGGAGCTGTGTGTCTCCACCAGCATCAGTGAGGAAACATCCCAGGAGTTCTTTAATGCCGTATCCCATATTACAAGCAATTTTGAGGTTATCAACCATCGCACCTAGAGGAGCCATACCTTCAGCTTCTCTCCAACCAACAAGAGGCGACTCGAAGCAAAGTCTGTGAAGTGGATAAAATTTACATCAGAAAGGAAATCTTACCATTTCGGAGCACTGTTCCTGCTGAGGCCCGTGCGTCAAACAATCGCGAACGTTTGATAGAGGGAGGGAAGTGCTTTTACTGTCAGAAACTTAGCCACCTTGCACGAGACTGTACCACGAAGCGGGTATCCTCTGAACTAAAGAACCTCAAGTGGAATAGAGTATCTGAGATTGAAAGTGACAATGGAGCGGGAAAAGTCTGGCCCAGGAGAAAGTCCCTGACCTGGGGTTGGATTATGTCGACCTTGATAAACTAGGTGTTAGCCAACTCGTCGATGGAAAAGGGGTTGATTTTAACACTCAGATAGTATACAATGGCACCAGCATACCTTCGATCACATTGGCCGACACTAGAGCAAACGGATATCTTTTTATGGACACCAATTGAACGATGGAGTTAGCGAGATTTTCTTTTTTTGGAATCCATACTCACCGACTTAGGCGAGTGATAGACACAAAATGATACAATAGCGAGCCTGGGGTCCCCATTATCCATGCCATTGTGTGTCATTTACTCATTGGCGGCCGACGCTTCTTGAACCAGCCTTTCTTAATTACTGATTTGGGTCAGCACGATCTAATTTTTTGAGAGAAAGTGGACTGATAGACAGGATCTGTGGCTGGATATGAAGAACCCGAGGTTGGTCTGGTCCTCTTCACTATGCATGTGACAATGTGACAAGTACATTGCACTTCGAGTTCGAAGGCCATTTATGGATATTTGTAGAAAGGGAACAATACCACCCGAACAGAATAACAGAATTGTCTCATAATATACACGCTTTTTCTAATAAGATATGGTAATAACGAAACCCAGTACAATAATATCAAAGAATGGTACAATGACAGAAACTCATGAAACCATATCCATTCGTGCCCTAACACCGGATCCAATTCAATCCCTTTAGTCCTTCTTGGGCTTCTTTGTTCCGTATTTCGACCGGCTGGTCAGACGGCTGGCAACACCACCCTACAAGCCGTTAGTATACGGGTCGATAAATAGTCGCAAGGGAATATATAGAAAACATACCAAATCCATAGCACCACGAACTAAGTGATATTTCACACCAGGACAATCCTGAGCTCTGCCACCACGAACCAGAACTACACTGTGCTGCTGGACATTGTGACCTAGACCCAGTCAGCCTTCTGTTTCTCCTTTCCTCTCTCCCACCGACTCCCACAAAAGGAAAATACATACCCTCGCCCGGAATGTAAGCCGTAATGACCTTCCCACTACTCAACCTAACTCTTGCCGTCTTCCTTTCACCCGAGTTCGGCTTCTTCGGCTTCGTAATACCAGTCTTCAAACAAACGCCCTTCATCTGTGACCTATCCACCAGCGCCGGAGACCTCGATCTCCGCGCCCGCTGCGAAACTCGGCACCCGCGACGGACCTGGTTGCATGTTGCCTGACGGAACGGGGAGGTGGAGAATTGGCGGCGCAGGAGAGCGGAGGGGCCTGCTGGTGCGATTGTCAGTCGTGCTGTTGTGAAGCCGGCGAGGGCGGCGGGTGTGCGGAGGATAGGTTGGAAGCACGAGGTTGTTTTGATTGCGGTGGCGGCGATGGAGGGGCGCTGGATGATTGTTCGCAGGGTACGGAGGGTGAGGGAGGAGATTAGGGGTGGCATTTTGGCGTTATTGGAGCGTTAGGCGTTATCGCTGGTTAGATTGGATCGGGGGTCGGGTTGAGATGCGATAATTTTGGATAGTTACACGTGACTGGTTTGCGGGTGTGGTGTGTTTGGGTTACCGGGGGAGCTGGGACTGTCGTAATGGCAAGCTGCTTTTATCGAGCTCCAACATCGTCACCGATTCACCTTCATCTTCTTTCTATCGGGGCCTCTTCATTTTTGAAACAAGATCCCACATCTGATTTCCGTGCCTATATTCTTCTTTAAACACACGTGCTCTATCTCTACAACCGCCATAATGGTATGCCACGTCTCACCACCTATCAACCATATCTATCTCGAACCCAAACCTAACAGAAAGACAGTCCCTCCGCATCGCTCCTCAACCAAACCACCCAACCCAAACATCCAACACAACCACCCGCCAACAAATCCCCATCTCCCTCCCCCGCGCCTCAAAGGGCGCCCCCTCCGCCCCCGGTCTCCCCGACACCCTCCGTACCAAACTAACCGCCCAAGCCCCCTATGGCCCCCCCTCCGCCAACACTAACACGATCCCGTCCTCTGCGCACCCTCTCGAGGCGCGTCTCCTCGCGTGGCGCCAGACGCAGGATGCGATGAAGATGGAGGGTTTGAGACGTGCGTATGGAATTGCAGAGCCTGTGAGGCGTGGGATGGAGTTGAAGATTGTGAGGGATGGGACGTTTAAGCCTGCTGTGCTTGGTGGTGGCCGGGGTGGGAATGTGCATGAGGATATTCTGGTGTTAGGGGGGAGGGATACGGAGGTTGGGTGGGAGGATGTTTTTCAAGGTTTGTTTTCTTTTGTCTTACTCTTTCTATATGATGGTTTTGCTAATACGCCGCAGGAGACGAGTTCAAGGAACCTGCTACCTTCCACGATGAGATGGAGAAGAGACTGCGCATGGATTAATGATTTGACCGGCTTTTTTTTTTTTTTATCGGTTTTTGTCTTTACGAATTCGTCTTCATGATGCTTCGCGGTTAGGGATTGATACAGGCGCAGTTACAAGATGTGTCATATATGAAAATAACTACCTCTATCCATCATCACAATAAATCAGTCGAAGTGATATAGCAAGTTATTGCATTAGAGCCCTTACGTGTTCTTGATATAAGCCATGTATTAACATATATTCAGCCATTCTCTTTGTACATGATAATCGTCAATCTAAAAGATTGGAACAATAAAGAAAAAGAAAAGAGAGAAAAAGACACGCAGATAAAGATCCAGATCCTGGAATAAATCAAAAGAGAACACAGAACTAGAAACACTGGAGCGAAGAAAGCTTGACTGAAAGAATTGCCATATAAAACAACAATAAACATATCAAGCTCAAGGTTAAACAGGGTATATATAAGCACAGTGCAAGGATGTGTAGTGTAAAAAGGGACAAGTCAAGCCACTCACATACGCAACTATGGGAATAGAACAGGGGGACAAGAAATGATGAGGAATAACTAGGCAACATGTCCTCCGGGCGCTGCCCAAGCAAGTATTAGGGAATTGAAATTGAACATCCATAACGCCGCCTCATGGGCTTGATAGCCAGACAAGGCAAGTGAATATCCTGCGCCAGGCGATTGAGAAGGAAGAAATGCAAAGCTAAACGAGGAAAGGAAAAAAGAAAGAGAGAAGGAAAGAAGGCAGATGAATGCGGTATCCCAACACCGATAATGGAGAAAGATAATGCGGATGATCAACCTGTAAAACGTGTAAAAAACGCATGCCCTGTTTAGAGGATGACACAGCGACATCCAGGGCTGCGTACGCTGGGGACCCGTTCCCGGATGGATTGGCCCTTGGCTCCAGCGGCGTCCTCTTCATCGATAAGCTCCTGGGGTTTAATTGTCATGTGAACGACGTTGGGTGCGTCACGGTTAAATTTGGAGTCTAATCAAAAGCAAGTCAGTGCCAAGTTTCATCCATGACAGCGGAATAGCTATTCCATTAGAGTTTACATACCCGATAGAGGTGCTTTATCTTCTAATAGTTTCCCAAACGAGATCAGTCGGATGGAGCTAGGTGACGACGGACGCGATTCCCAGTCTGCATATAATTGGTCACATTCAGCACATTTCAACTTGCCAACCTCGCATGCAGCCAATCATCGGCCAAATGGTCTGCATTTCTTTCCGAGAAATGTGGATGGGGGATCCTTACCTGAACGCCATTCCCTCCAGATCAATTCCTTGAGAGTATAGACACTCATGGCAAATGGGTCATTGTTTTCGACATTGACCGACTGCTTGCGTAGGTATTTCCCATCAATCTTAAACGGATGTCGCGATCCCGACGTCAACAGCAGAGTGATCACCAGCGACGATCCGGAGTCTTCATCTTCTTTTGGCTGTTCGTCCTTGGGGCTCTCCACCTCTTTCGCATGTGCACCCGCAGCTTCCGGCGACGGCTCTTTGGTCTTTTCCGCGGCAGTCTGGGCTGCACCATTCGACGAGGCGACAGTCGTATCGTTGGTCGTGGTGGAAACATTTGGCGCAGCGCTTTCGCCACTTTCTGTGGGCTTCGTATCGGCAGTCACGGCATTCTCCATTGTCTGTTGAGGACTTTGTTCTGATGCTGCATTGTTTGCAGTTTCGACTGGACCGGAAGATGGTTGTGATTCGTTGGTGGTCGTAGGCAAAGGACCGTTCCCAGTGTCAGCTGGAGCGACGCCCGGCTCGGGGAGGTTGGTGTTGTTGTTGTTGCTGTTGTTGTTGTCGTTGGCCGACATATTAGGATGTACGATGACTTATGTTTATTCGTGAAACTTGTTCGCCGCGGTCGCTGGTCACGATCGACTTGGTTTCCAGTATGAACGAAGGAAAATAGAGGTAGATGGGCGAAAGAGGTCAAAGAGCGGACGATGGGGGGAATGGGCAACGGGCGCGAGATAAAAGGAGGAGAGAGTGGAGGAGAGAGCGAGCGATCGAGGGAGAGTAGGGAGGGGAACTGCGCCTGAACCCACGAGGAAATTGAGAAAGAGAGTTCGAGGATCCAAACAGAGAAAAACAAGCAAAGAGAGATGAAGTGAAAAAAAAAAAAAAAAGAAAAAAAAAAAGAAAGCGAACGATTCACTGGAGAGCGAACGAAAGAAAAGCAATCAGTTGTCGCATAGGAATCACCCGGAGGAGCGTTTGGGGTGGACTATTTGAGCACCACGCGGTAGAAAAAGTAAAGAGACGACTAAAAGGGGTTTCTTAAGGAAGAACAAAGATAGTTTCAAAACAAGATAAGGAAGAGACCAGAGCCAGAGTCAATTCTGGATGGAGATAATGAAGAGGGAAAAAGAAAAGCAGAAAAGAAAGAGAAGTGAAGGTCTCTTTTGTCTCTCTCTCAAAGGGGAAAAGGCCGCAATGACGCTTAAGGCAGCGGGCTGGACCAGAGGCGAAAATAGAACAGAAAAATACAAATATTACTAGCTTTACAAAGTCAATGCTTAAAGGGGCCACGGAAACTTGATATACGCATGTTTTTTCTCTTTTGCTTGCCACGGCTGTGCATTGGTCTTGGTATACATGGGAGGCATACAAGTATACTTCCTCTCGCCACTAGCATTATGCAGTTCTGTATTTCTGGCCGTCATGTCTGACTTGAGCATGAGTGCTGAGCCCTGCAGCTATGTTTGCATCAGCATCTGACAGTTATGTATACTAGGCTTTACCCGAAATAAAATGCTTGTAATTTTGCTAGTTATCCGAATGCCTATAGAATGAAATGACAAGAAATTCTGCATGCATGAAGTCAAAATCGAAGAAGAAACAAAAGCCCATATACTAAGACACACGGTGAAGAACAATCGCTTTAAATCCAAATAAAGAGACTGAAGGTATCTTTTGTAAATCCAGCATCCAATTTGTAATGGTTCAAAACCATCTATCAATCAATTGGTCCACCCAAAGGATTACCTTCGATCTGACACTCCTGCGCATTGTAAAGCCAATGCTACCAATGCCAAATAAAACTAATGCCAATCATGCGATTTTAGGTATGGTCAGTCATTGCTGACCTTCGTAACCCTCCGGCTTTTGCAAGTTATTGACGTGGAAGTAACGGGAGGTGCCTAGAGTGGTGTATTAGCAAGAGCCAACCAAAGCCAAAAGGAACCAAAGATTTACATGAGTATCCCTTCCAGTCAAAGTTATTCTCGGGGTTGCAGTGGCATCTCAGATCGAGCCTCATCTTCTCGCTTGTCGGGCAGTGGGTAAAGGGAACGTGGTAGTAGGCAATCTCGTTCCAGAAATGGATCTCTGGCTTGCTAAGGAGGATGCCAGCAGCAATCGAGTGAACGGGTGCGTCTCCCCATCGCTCATAGAAGAAACCGCCATCGCGGTCAAGGGATTCAAAATAGTCAATGTACTCCTTCGACCTCAGCCATTCCAGGCTTCCGATTTCAAAGTTGGACCACTATAACTCGTTAACCATACCCAAAAGAACAAGGACTATGGAGGGAACTTACGAAGTGACACTTGTTGTAGGTCTTTCCACCATCGTCGCTCAAAAAGTCCATAGAGTTCCCAGATGCGATGTGTTCAGGGTGGTTACCCATGAACTTCTTCACGCTATCCCACAAAGTAGGGATAGTCTCATAATACTCGTACAGACTAAGCGTGAAGCTGTACTTCTTGTTGTTCTCCTTCATGAAGCGGAACGGGTCGTAGGCAATGTCACAAAAGAGCTCAATGCTGGGCTCCACTCGCCAGTAGTACTCGTAGTTCATCATCAATGGGTGGCGGAAGAAGAACCCAGACTCATAGCGACACATGTGACGGTAGCTCTCCGAGTCGCCATAGATGATCTTCTTCTGCCCCATTTCCTGTCGCGCCTTCTTTGCCTTCTCCTGGTCGACCCAGTCGGGGTATGACCAGTGTTCTCTGGGGATGATTCCGTAGTGTGTTGTCCCCGAGACCAGCGACGTGGTGAGTTTCTTGAAATCATCATCAAATTCCTTGTCATTCAAGAATACCCAGTCGTAGTGATAGTTGCGGTTGAAGCGGTCCTCGACTTGTCGGATCGACCGTGCCAAATCCCATATATCCGAGTTGCGAGCTAACGTCACGAAAGTCGCATTCACACGGGTTTCCGGGCGAACAATAACGCTCTCCGACTCGGGCGCCTTGGATGGATAGGAAAATGTAGCGCTATCTTGCGATGCGCTTGCTGACCCACCGGTCACTGTGAGGGAGCCTTTGCCTTTATAAGTCGACGGATTCAATTTTGATAGCGTAGCAGTATCGGGCATAGGAATCGCAGATCTCGAAATAAAAAAGAGGATACCCAGTCCCTGATAGCATAACACCCATAATGTCAGTTATCGGCATGGCGCTTCGACAGGGGTAAGGGGAGAAAGGCGCAAGACAACTCACCAACGCCGCGAACAGCAGATACCGGACATATCTAACCGGTCCTGAAGACATGATTGATATGTGTTAGATCCGTGTTAAACACGGTTGAAAAAAGACGGACAGGAGAAGGTCAGGCGCGATGAGGAAAATCGCAAATAGAGGGGCGTAAACGCGGACCGTATAGGGAAACTGAGCGACGATTCGGCAGAACGAAAGACCAAGGTAATATTCTTTCTCTCCGTCTACAATCGCAATCCAGCTAAAATATGACCTCGAGACATCCGATATTGTAAGCCTCAGCCTTCCAGAGTTGAATGTTGGGGACAGTGGCTGGAATGATAATGCCTCGGGAAGGATGACTGGTATCTCAGGTTGCTGTGGAACGGGCCGGGCTATCAAAGAATAGGACAGAGAAAAGAGACAAAGAATATAGAATAGAAGGGGTCAGAAAGGATCTGGCGGTGGTTCCAGGATGCCGACAGCAGGAAGAAGGATTTGCTGTAAGATGAAATGGACAAGAAAATAGTAAAAGGTGGCCGTGCCACGCAAGACACAGACGCACCTGTACCCGAGCCTCAACTGCGAGACATCGGAGGCGTTGGAGAGACACCGTTCTTCTGCTGATTTCCCAGAAAGGAAAAAAAAAAAAAAAAAAGAATTCACTCTACGGAGTATAGAAACGGTTCTGACAGTTCTGACTTCCATCGTTTCTGTCAAAAATACCCATGCTCAGATCAACGACGATCATCTGTATCCACTGGTTTGGGATTCCTATTGCTGGGACGGCAGCCTTGCAAATTCAATGTTTGAAGAATAGAACCCGTCTGGATCGATTCAAATTTGAAGACAAGCTATTGATATCATTTCGCTCGAATTATCACTCGTTGAATCCAGGTAACCCCCAATGGTGATACCTTGTTACTCGTTTGGAGCCCTTTGCGGTGGCAACAGGCAAACCAGCGTCCAGCGTCAAGAGTATCCGAACGCCGTTAACTACAGCTCCAATTGTGCCCTGATATGTGAGAAGTCTAGTTCGTACCGTTCCTAGTATACAGGCTTCAAGGCCATAAACCCGGGAAACCAATAGGCACGGCGCATTGTCTTAGAGACTTATTAGGTACAGAGTTCAGAGTACAGAGCACAAAGTGGTAGCTCAGTTGAGAAAAGCACGATCCATGATATTAGGACTCATCTGGAAAGAACTTCTTGATGTCGTGCATTGGCTTGAACTGTCTCTCTGGACGTCAGATTGTTAGCAGCTCGAGTGCTTGAACCTGTCGCTAATTGGAATGATTATTCTCATCGGAACTAGCTCGATTCCACAATCATAGACTTTCGTTGAAACATACATATTTACTCGTGAGCTGTCAAGTAGGAAGAGCACAAGTACAGAGTATAGTAGATACTCCGACACCGCCTTCTGCCTCAGGCATTATCTGATATCAGACCTCACTTCATCCCGCACCACAAGAATATTGGATTTCCCCCCCAACGCCATGTCGTGCTGAGTGCTTTCCACTTCCCACCCCCTTCAATTCACTGCCATTGGACCGAAGATGTCTTTCTTCGGCTTCGATACTACCCTTCCAAATAAAAAGGGGTTTTTCGATGCCTCAGATCCCTTTGCCGAAGTCGCTCGTGCTAGAGCGGCGGGCCAGCAAGGCGACGACGACGATGATGATGCGTGAGAGTTCCTCTCGTTTGGAATTAGGATAAGAAACAAGAACATGAAATGGCTAATCCTTTCTTGTTGTACTTTACAGAATCGATTTCGAGGATACGTACGATGGTCTTGGTGACCGACTCAATGAGGACCAGGATGCGTTCAACGATGACACGTTCGGTGATGCAGGTGATAGTGATGGCCCCGTAGGCAAGGATTTCGATTTCTTCGGCAGAACAGCACAGGTGGCCGATGCATTTGGGGAAGAACAAGTCCGTTACAACCTACAGTATCCGACCGAAGGCGTGGCGGAAACTATCACGCAGACAAACACGGTTCAAGAACCAAAACCCAAGCGGACAGGGTATGAGAAGTACGAGGACCCCGGGTATATTCCCGACCTGCAGGCCAAATCCAGTGTTTGGGGGGTATCGAAGAAGCCTGAAGAGCCCATCTACGAGCCACCGGCGGCTAGAAGGATATTGAGTCTGGAAGAAGTCGAAGCGCAGCTACGCCAGTCGAGTGCTCGTTCAGCATTGCTGGCTCAGCCACCGGTGTCGCTACCTCCAGGAATCCCCGAACCGCTTTACCCGCCCCAGCAGATGCCTTTGTTGCCGGAAATATTCTCGCAGATCCCTCCGGAGATTTTGCAAGCCCAGTTGGCCAAAGGCATCCCGCCAGCGCAGTTGCTGCAACATCTTCCTCAGCCGATGGTTCCTGAGCCCTATCCACTACCTCCACAAGCACCTCCCGGCATCCCGTTGCATCTCCTTCAGAATGCCAATTTCCACCCACAGCATATGGCACCTCCGCCGCAGCGACATGCAATGCCCCCGATGCCTCTTCAGCAGCAGCAGCCCCAGCAGCAGCAGCAGCAGCCACCTCTGCCACCGCAAGCTCTACAAGGTGCGAACAATCCTCTGCCGGTTATCACCAATCCGCAGCAGCTGATGCAGCTACCGGAAGAGCAACGCATGGCATACCTGTTGGAAGATGCCAAGCGTGCGAAGCGTAACCACAAGATATTCCTCCTCTCGCGGTTCAACGGCTTGATGACCCCGCAGGACAAGAATTTCATTACGCGGATTCAATTGCAGCAACTGGTGGCAGCTGCGGGAAACGTCGGAGACTCGGATCCAGAGGCTGTCTTGGCTGAGGATTTCTACTACCAGGTCTACAGTCAGATTCGGGGTGCTCCTCGTCAGCATCCGCACCAGCCTCTCGGTCACTTTGCGCAAACCTATTTATTCCAGACTGGTAATCGTTTTGGTGGCCACGGCGGGCGGAGAAACGGACAAAACGCCGACAACCACATGCAGCGGATGCAACAGCAGGTGCAGCGGGCAGTGGAAGCAGCCAAGGCAAAGCCCAAGAATAAGCAACTCATCATCGAGGGTAGTCTGGGCAAGATTTCTTTCAGTAACGCAAAGGCTCCGAGAACGATGCTCAATATCAAACGTCCTGAGAGCTCGGAGGGAGCCAAGACCACTAAGAAGGCACAGACCGATCTAAGCCTCACTGATCGGAAATTCATCCTGAACAGCATCGAAAATGTATACAACAATTTGATGGCCATGGAGGACATGGAGCGTACCATGCCTCCCCCGCCGGACGAGGACGATCCTGAAGCGATTCAACGGCACATGGAATGGCGCCAGAAGGTCCGTTCGCTCAACCAAAAGTTATGGCAGGCTCTCAAAGTCATGGAGCCGATCGTCCCCAATGCCAACACCCCGCATCCGTTCATCGCGTTCCTCTCGTACCCCAAGGGCAAGAAAGCTATCCCCCGTATTTTCCGCCAAATCGACCAAGAACAGCGGGTCACCATTCTCACCATGATTGTCGTTCACTTGGATACATTGGATGTTGTTCGACGCTCACAACAAGCAGCGGGCGAGACGCCGTCGCTAGATGTGCGCGAGGCCGTTGACTTGTTCTCGCAGGCTGTGATGCCCAGTCTCTTGATGTATGTCAGCGAAGCACCGTTTAACATCATCATCGGTCTTCTGGGATTGGTCATTGCCCAGACCCACGTGCAGACGGTGTCCAAAACTCGTATCGGACTGGGTATCTTGACCATGATGCTCAGTCGCGCAGAGATTGTCAAGGAGGCCGGACAGGCTGAGGAACACGATTGGCACCAATGGGTTGAGAAGTTTAACGTGTTGTTTGATACTTTGGAGCCCATCCTTGCTGATATCTTCCCTGCTTCCATCAACGCTGGCGACGATATGTACGTGTGGCAGTTCTTGGCGGCCGTTGGTATTGGAGCTAGCCCGGAGCAGCAGCAGCGCTTGGTTATTGCAGTCAAGTAAGCTTTCCCTCACTCCCTATAGTTTTGGTAATTATGATTCTAACACTTTGGCAGGGACCGAGTCATGGAGACGGTGAACTACAGCAAGACGCTCCCCCCTGATATGGGAAGTCAACGACTTGGAAACGTCAACCTTTTCATGCGTGCAATTGGACTTGACGTCGAACTTCTCGGATAAAGAAGCGAATATTTTCTGTTTATGGGTCTGGGGTGGTTGCCCTCTCTAATAAGCCTCTCGTGACCGAACATACGTGGAATATTTGAAACTTCCGCATCCGTCTCGGGCTACATGCACCCTAGTATTGCTTTTTGTGCGACCGGCACACTTTGTCTCCATGTGACAGCTGTTCATACAACATCACATGGGTCCTGTGTGCTTCAGGAGGGGGCTTGATTACTTTTAAGGGTGTGGTCTCAATCCCGGAAAGGGAAGAATGAGCCCTCCCCGGAGCAAGAACTCACCAATTCGGAATACGGTAGATTGGCTGCAAAAGGCTTATCTACTGTATACTGGCTCGGGCGACCAGCAAGAATGGCACGATAAGGAGAAAAAAGGGCCCAGTGTTGTAACTTTTGGATATGGGTATTTGTTTTTTGTGACGTTGACGATTATGCTTCACATTTCTATTCCTGTTTTTTTTCTTGTCTCTTCTCCTTTTTATTTCTAGTTCTTAACAATGTGTTATGTCCGGTTTGCTGCATGGTTGCTCCGATATCTGGTCGTACTGTCTATGAAACCTCGGGCCAATCTGTCACTGTTCTGAAACACCCTTGGCACCAGCCCGATACTTTTTGTACATGATGCTTTCCTCTCTGGCAGAGGATACATATTGTGAAATCCAATGGCAATCCAGTTGCTCTCCCGAACCAATTCCGTAAGCCTAATCGTAAACCACGACGATCTCCATCCGGCGAAATGAGATCGGCCAGCTGAACTGGACCCTTCTAAGAGGGATTTGGTGACGATCAGCGTCACTCTGAAATGACAAAATAAAGGGGAATTGAATAAACACAGAATAGCACAAAACAGTAAATGCGCTCAATTCAAAAGATATAAAAAAAGACCCTGAAATCTCTCGTCCGCGTCAGCTGCCGGATTGGGTAAGACGGGAGGTTCCCCACCAAATTGCGCCCCCCCCCCAATATAACTGTCGCTGCTTTCCCTCTTCCCTTCTCACTCTGATTCCTCATTCTATTTCTCTCTCCTCTTCCTAATCTACCCAGTTCCTTTCCTCACACAATCATCATGTCTGCTGGCTCTGTTCTTGTCACCGGGTATGCATTATCTTCATCTCTATGTTCCTGTTCCTGTTCCTGTTCCTGTTCCTGTTCCTATCTTTGTTCCTCCTGACTAACAGACACCCCGCATTCGCATTACAGTGGTACCGGTTACATTGGCTCCTTCACCACCCTTGCTCTGCTCGAAGCTGGCTACAAAGTTGTTGTCGCAGACAACCTCTACAACTCCTCCGACGAGGCTCTCAAGCGCGTTGAGTTGATCTCTGGCAAGAAGCCTGAGTTCGCTCAGCTCGATGTGACCGATGAGACCGCTTTCGACAAGGTTTTCGAGGCGCACCCCGACATTGACAGCGTTATTCACTTTGCCGCTCTCAAGGTGCGTCATTTCCACTCATTGGATCATTGCGACAAGGATATAGAGTACGGTAGATTAACATTTGCAACAGGCCGTCGGCGAGTCGGGCGAGAAGCCCCTGGACTACTACCATGTCAACGTCTTCGGCACCCTCTGCCTCCTGCGCTCCATGGTCCGCCATAATGTCACCAACATCGTCTTCTCCAGCTCTGCCACCGTCTACGGTGACGCTACCCGTTTCCCTGACATGATCCCCATCCCCGAGAATTGCCCTCTGGGCCCTACCAACCCTTACGGAAACACCAAGTTCGCCGTTGAGACCGCTATCACCGACCTGATCAACGCTCAACGCAACAACGCCCTCAAGGCTGGTAACCAGGCTGAGGCTCAGAAGTGGAACGGCGCTTTGCTGCGCTATTTCAACCCCGCTGGTGCTCACCCCAGTGGCATCATGGGTGAAGACCCCCAGGGGGTTCCTTACAACTTGCTGCCTTTGTTGGCTCAGGTTGCTACTGGCAAGCGCGAGAAGCTGCTTGTCTTTGGTGATGGTAATTTGCCTTTTCCCTGTCCCTACATCTAGATCCAATGGCTAACAAGCAGTAGACTACGAGTCGCGCGACGGAACCGCCATTCGTGACTACATCCACATCCTCGACCTTGCCAACGGCCACCTTAAGGCCCTCAACTACCTCCGCGCCAATAACCCCGGTGTCCGTGCCTGGAACTTGGGTACCGGCAAGGGTAGCACCGTCTACGAGATGATCAATGCTTTCTCCGCCGCTGTCGGCCGCGACCTCGCCTACGAGGTTGCTCCCCGTCGTGCCGGTGACGTGCTGAACCTGACCGCAAACCCTACCCGTGCTCACAGCGAGCTTGGCTGGACTGCTGAGCGTACCCTCGAGCAGGCTTGCGAGGACCTCTGGCTCTGGACCCGGAATAACCCCCAGGGTTACCGCCAGGAGCCGCCGGCGGAACTGCTCGCTGCTCTTAAAAAATAAGTAATTTGCGAAGTTGACATAGACTAGATGTTCAGAGATATATTTCTTCTTAATATTATGAAATGATGAGTTCTCTTTTGTGAAAGATGTTGTCTAGTACTTGAAACAAGAATGTCAATGTTTTGATTATGCAATTCCTCGACGATGCAAGTTATCAACGATTGCTAGTTTATCACGTAATCTACAATTTATTTCGCCTTGCGACTCCGTCGTGATCCCGGCGTCGGATCCTTAGCAGCCCCCTTGTCCTCAGCCTTCCGCTTCTCCTCCTCCTCCCTCTCCTTCTTCTCAATCGCCCTCAAAACAGCCCCCTCCTTCTCCCTCAGTTCAATCTGCTTCTCACTAAACTCCCACAACTCTTTCGCTCGCTGCTCATCCTTCACATCCTTTCGCGAGAAATCTACCTCCCGACACTCCTTGATCATCCATCCGCCCTGGTCCTTCCCATACCGCGCCTCCATAGCCGCATACAGAATACTCTGCGCGCCCTGCTGTGGCGACTTGAGGATTAACCACCACAGCGGCCAGGTGAGGAGGTAGAGGAGGAGGCCCCAAAGGGAGCCGCCGGTTAGCCAGCGGCGGGTTCCTGGGGTGCGGCTGAAGCCTGGGTCGACGGTGATGACACGGGTACATGGGGGTTGGCCGTCGGGACGTTTGTAGGTATTGAGGTGAGCTTGGAAGGACTGAGCAAAGATCATGAGGGAGAGTTTGCTTAGGGCGAAGAGGCCGTTGTCCTTCTTTTTGGCAGCAGTGACAGTTTTAGGCTTCTTGTTAGGTTTGGCAGGCTTATCCTCAATAACGGCCTTTCTGAGATCAAACTCGGCCCCGATATAACTCGGACACGTCGTGAAAATGACCCGCACATCGCGATGCGCCGGCTGCGCCCTCAGTGCCGGAGAAAGAATACTCAGTAGATGGAAATTTGCCAGATAATTCACCTGCCACTCCTCGTCCAGCGCATCCACAGTTATCTTCCGCTCACCCTTCGAGGGGACAACCGTGTTCGCACACAGAATAAGCATATCCAGTCTCCGCGGCGGCGCGTTGTCGATCCATTTCGTCGCGAACGTGCGGATCGAGTATAGCGAGGAGAGATCGACTTGCTCGGCGTAGATGAGTTGGTTACCTGTTGATTTGCGGAGGTCTTCGACGTATTCGACGAGGAAGATGTCGGAGGGTGAGTGTTGGGTTAGGAGGATGACTTGGGCGCCGCGGAGAGCGAGTTCGTGGGCTACTGATGCGCCTATGCCGGATGTGCCACCCTGCATCTCTGATTAGCTGAAATTCCTACTACCTTGGGTAGTTAAGACGGAAGAAATACCGTAATCATAACGACTTTGGAGTGCATCAATCGCTCAGAGCGATTTCTAGCACCGCCGAACCAGTACTTCAGCGCGGCGACGAGGAGAACCCATGGTACGATTCTGAGGACTGTGTAGACATAAGGAATAGAAGATAGGCCCTCTTCAACCCCCTTTCGGATTATGGGGATGGGCATTGTGCAATTGGTGTTGCGCTGTGGTTGTTGTTGATGAAAAGTAGGAGAGGACAACAACGTCAACAGATAGGCGGACAGAGATGGTCTGGATTCCGCATCGGACTACGCCACCACCTGTATGACATGATTGCCTACAGTAAACACTCCTTTACACACTTACCTACATAATTAAAACACACACACACACACACACACACACACAGAGAGAGAGAGAGAGAGAAAAAAAAAGAAAAAGAAAGAGATGTCCGATGACGAAGACTACTTCCTTCCCGTTGAAGACCAACGAGTCTTCGGCGCTGGAATCCGCCGCAAGCGCGTCCCGTTCGTTCGTTCCTCAGAGCATGAGCTCAACACCACCAATGCCACCACCAATGCCACCACTACAGCACCAAACACAGGGATACCAGGGCCAAGTATAGCGGATAAATATTTGTCTATTGTTATGCCGAAGGGCATGACCAGCGATAGCACGAGGACCACCGCAGAACAACAACCAGCGATATGCGAAGTCTGCAATCTCCCTTTATACCCCAGTTCAACGACGACAACGACGACAACGACGACAATAGATGACAGCCATGAAAAACCCCACGAAAGCTCCCTTGCGCACCAAATCTGTCTCACACATTCCCATCCCCCCTCCCACCTCGACCGCACCCGCCAAGGCCTCCGCTACCTCTCGTCCTACGGCTGGGACCCCGATAGTCGAGTTGGACTGGGCGTGCCAGGGCGAGAGGGTATCCGGGAACCTATTAAGGGGCGGTTAAAAGCTGATACGATGGGATTGGGAGCTGACGGTGATAGTGATGACGAAGAAAGCGGGGGGAAGATAGGGCTGAAGAGGAAGGCGAGGGAGAAGAAGGCTGAGAAGAGTAGACCGGCGAGGGTAGAGAAGTTGAATGCGAAGGAGGTTCGGAGGGGGGATTTGGAGGCCAGGAGGAGGGGGGAAAAACTGAAGGAGATGTTTTATCAGAGGGAGGATGTGCAGAAGTATCTGGGGTAACTTGTGTTGCGTTTCTTTTAACAGTGATACCCCGGTTTTTTATAGATCAAGTTATTAAAGATTAAGAAGTTGGTTTCTCTTGCCTGCAACTATGACCATAGAATATAGAACCAATGTACAAAATGAACAGCGCCGTCAGAATGCTTCAAGACACAGACAGGAAAACATGGTATCACAGTAGCGCAACAATATGACGACAGCAGAAAAACCAACCGAAAACGAACGGTCCTGGCCGTCCAAGAAGAGAAATGGGTACAGCAAGATTAGTGGTATATGCGATTAAAACCGAAAGGTTAAGACGATAAAACTACCGGAAGAAGTGGAATTTCTTTTCCTTCTTCTCTTTCTTTTCCTTCTTGTGCTTGTCGTGTTTATCGTGCTTCTCATGTTTGTCCGCGCCTGGAGGAGGCGTTCCACCCTGCGCATCCTCCAGAGACAACTTCCCCATAGCCACTGCGTTGGACACCGGTGGATTGAGCTTGGGCGCCGGCTTCTTCGCAATCGGCTGCTGTGGCTGTGGCTGTGGCGGAAGGGCTTCCTTCTCGAACAGATGAGCCGGTGCAGTAGGTTTGGGTCTCTCCGCGGGAATATCCAGGCGCCTTCGGTCGACGCTCAGGTCTCCCAGCTGACGCAGGAATAGACCGGGGCTGAGCATGTGAGATGTTGCCAGGAAGACATCTCTGTTAAATGCCTGGGAAGCTTCGTAGCACGCCCGGGCTTCGCCATAGGTAGCACCGCCAGCCATCAAGACGATAATGCGCTGTTTGGGTTGATCTGCTGAGGAACGGGTTCGGGCCCAAGTTGGTTTCGCGCTTCGCAGGGACGCCTGCGATGACGTAAAAGTTTCTGTATGTTGGGACGCAATGCCCTCAGCATCTGTTGGCGGGCGGGTGAATGGGAAAACAGTTGCGTCCAATGTCCCACGGATTTGCTCTTCCAGCATCAGTTTCACGTTAAGCTCATACCGAGTCAAGCTGGTCTCGTCAGCTTCAGCAGGAGCTGGAGGTTTCCGTTGGAACACTGGCTGTATCGGTGGCCTCTCATCCTTGAGCGGCTTTTCCGCCCGCGCTCCAAGTAACCCGATGTTGTAAAGAACTTCTCCATCGTGTGGTGAAAGCTGTGCATGCGCCATCAGTTTTCTGATATCTCCTCCCAGCAAGCCCCCTCTGTATACAATATAAAGCAATAGGAGTCTTAGTCGGTCTGAGCGCATGACTGCCTCATCATCGAGCAACTGCACCAACTGTGAAGCTAGGTTCTTGGCCTTTTTGTAATTCTCATCAAGTCCCGTCGCAAAACACTGCTCAACAGAACTGACTTCGATGAGTTTATGGACCTGGAAGTGCTTCATACACTCTTGTGCCATGTTCAGGTGAAGTGTATACGCGTCTCTGCCCTGCTGGAATTCCGAAAGACCCGCCAGCATGTCCTTGATAGTATTGACGGTCGCCTTATCGTCTCTGTAAAGGATTAACGACTCATCCAGTCTTCCTACAATGGGATAATTTCACTTACTCTTCCGCAAACTGAGGATTGGCTCTCCTGAACTTGGCAAAGTCTTCGCCCAACCTCTCAAGCACATCCTTCATGTGGAGATGGCGATAGTCGACCCAGACTTTGTCATTGTCGCTGATCTCCATCTCCTTGTGTTCTTGCTTAGCGGTTCCCTCATTGATAACTGTCTTGTATGTGACCTTGTCCCCATCTTGAACCGGCAGCAGGTCGTGCACCATGGCCTGGTAGGTGAACTCGTGGAGAAGGGGCGAATACACATCCATAGAACGATCCACCACAAGAAGCACACCGCGCGGCCTCGACGACTGTGGTGGGTATCCTCGTTGAGATTGCGCGAATTGGTCCAGCTCATTCTGAATAAATCGCGCTAGATGAGAGCACAGCACGCTGGCTTCATGTGTGGGTACTCGGGGCCGATAGTATCGGATCACAGGATACTCGCCTAGAGAGCCACAGAGGGATACGACCTTGTATCAATGTCAGCAACATGCGCTGGTTCAAAAGACGCCCATAATTACCCAGAGATTCTCACCTTTTGCGCAAGTTCTTCCAAATGGTTCCGAATCAAATGGTTACAGCCGGGGTGGAACAAGACCGGAAAACTCCAAGGATCCCGAAAAGTCACCACGTGCGATTCTTTGGGATAGAAGTTGATATTCATAACCCGAAACTCCACGATCTGTTCTTGCGCCATTTGAGATCGTTCCAGCCGAACTCGTTGTTGGGGATCGAGGACTGCGAAGCGACGTCAGAGTGGACGCATTGGACCTCCTGCGGAAGTACTGACCTGAAGTCCACACCAATCTTGCTTTTCTGTATCTCTTCCTCTCAAAGTCGGCCATCAGACAATCAACAATATGCGTCATGGGTGATAGGATATAAAGCGCATCCATTTCTGGGTTTGTCTCTCGCCGGTGCTCGATCTGTTCCACGTCTTGCGGGGTACCCCAATTAGCTGACCTGTCCTTGTCGCGAACGTTTTCTCCCAGATTCGTACTCACTGGTGACATTGAGGTTGAGAATGTCATCTTCAGTCGTCGCATTGTAAATCAATTTCCGACTGGTCTCATCCACGACCAAAACTTTCCACTGTACATTGAAACGGGGCCTCCATCAGTTGCCGTCATCGATGCGGAGGTAAGGGGAAGGAAGTATTGGGGGAAGATCATGCAGTACCTCGTCGCCTCCTGCATAACGAATTGTATTCAGGATAACTATCAATCAGGAATAGTCAGTAAATCATTCAATAGGAGGTATAACAAGCAATGTGTAGCCACCTACTATCGCGCTGGATGTTGATGATTGACGTGCCCATCCTGGCGGCAATGTACTAGCTGTAGAGGACCAAGGAAAAGAACTGAAAGAGGTACGAAGACAGGAGACTCCGTCCAGACGGAGTAGCGAGAAAACAACAGAATTAAACGAGTAAAAGGAAGATTGGTCCCTTTCTGTTTGAAACGCTCTTCTTGAACCCTGAAACTGTCCCCCACTACTACGTACTATCGCAAGGGAAATCGGTAGGCGGTGGATCGGTAACGCGGTGTGGCGGCGGTTTTGCCAGCGATAAAAAAATAATGGCGATCCATCACCACCACTCATTCGTCCATACACTACGCGCTAACGAGAACGATTCCAGTACTTGAGACGGCTAGTGCCTGGTTGCTAACAAGCGGTTTAGCACCAGCTTTTTCATCGGTGTTCCAATCGCCAACTCGGTTCTTCCGATTCCCGCCTTCAAGCCGATATACAAGACTTTAACCGGGTGGAGGGATGCAGTTATGGGCCTGCAGAGGCAGTTATCGCCTGCTGCTTCGCGCTGTCCAACCCCAGTGTCATCCGGAAGCATGGCGAACGTTTGCGACAACGCCGGCGCTGCAGAGATCAACTAGAGCACAGAAGCAAAGCAAGAAGAAGCAGCGATTAGAAAATGCTAAAAATGTATGTTCCGAAACCAGTTTGTATCCCTTCGAACAGTTATACTAAGATATCTTGTTTTATGAACAGCCATCTGGAAGACTGGCTCTCGGTGGTGTCACACAATCAATGAGGAAAAGTGTCAGCTCTCAAGATTTTAGCGTCGTCGTTGCATCCATCTTACACGAGATTAAACAAGGACTGGGGCCGGATGATCCGGTACTGGAAAAGTGGCCGAATTTTGAACGATATGTGTTAAATGCCTGTAAGGTGGACGAAAAATCCCTAAGCGGGAAGCCTACCCCCCTTAGGGAATTGAAACTGTCGCTACAGAGGACCTACCTTATCCGAGGCCTTTCAGGTTTGAGAGAGGATATAGAATATCGATTATTCGCGGAAGACCTTACTGCGAAGTATTCGCTGCCAAACTTGGAACATCAGAGAAAGGTGGCCGATTTACGATTTCCAGCAGAATGGTACGGACAAGCGCGCGCCATGCAACGGACAATCCATTTACACGTCGGGCCAACAAATTCTGGAAAGACCTATCATGCGTTGAAGCGATTAGAGAGTTGCAAAAATGGGTTCTATGCGGGGCCGCTGCGGCTCCTTGCGCAGGAGGTATATCAAAGGTTCAAGGCAAGTGGTGTGCCTTGCAGTCTCATCACTGGTGATGATGTGCAAATTCCTGAGGGATCGGCTCCGACAATTGTGAGCAACACAGTCGAGATGGCCAACCTGGGCAAAACATACGAGGTTGGCGTTATCGACGAAATCCAGATGATCGCAGATCCCAGACGTGGATGGGCTTGGACGCGCGCCGTTCTTGGAGCACGTGCAACTGAATTACATCTTTGTGGTGAGGCAAGAGCCGTACCTCTTATTCGCGAACTAGCTGCTCTTACGGGCGATAACCTCGAGATTCACCGTTATGAGCGGCTTAACCCTCTTAGAGTCATGGACAAGAGCTTGGAAGGCAGTCTGAGAAACCTGCAGAAAGGTGATTGTGTGGTTGCTTTTTCTCGTCTGGGAATTCACGCATTGAAAGCAGATATTGAGAAACACACCGGGAGACGTGCGGCTATTGTCTACGGAGGTTTACCGGCAGAAATCCGGACGCAGCAGGCTAGTCTTTTCAACGATCCGAACAATGATTACGATTACCTCGTTGCTAGCGATGCCATTGGGATGGGTCTTAACTTGTAAGATTGCCCTTGTTTTGTTTTGCCGCAAATCAAACTCTGACTATTATCTACAGGAGTATTAAACGTGTTGTCTTTGAGACTTTGATCAAGAGGCTCCCCGGCTGTCTCCAAAAACTCAGCGTATCTGAAATTAAGCAAATTGCAGGGCGAGCCGGTCGTTATCGCTCTGCCGCGCAGACCCAAGGCAAAGGGAAAAATGCCAAAAGCGAAGAAGAAAACGTTGGCTTCGTGACTTCATTGGAAGACATTGATCTTCCACAAATCAAAGAAGCACTGTCTGCTGAACCTCCTCCGATCACCGTTGCCGGCCTTTTCCCTCCAGATGCTGCCATTCAGAAATTTTCTGCCTATTTCCCGCGTAACACTCCTTTCCAATACGTCCTCAAGCGCTTGATAGAGCTTACGCAGGTCAGCCCGCTATTTTTTATGTGTGACCCTCAGAGTCAGCTTGAAAACGCCGAGCTCATTGACTCTGTGGAAGGCCTACGTGTTGAGGATCAGCTAGC